CAAGAGTCACATGTTCCTTGCAGAAAGTCTTGTCTTCGCATGTATCTCGTAGAAAGTCTTGTCTTTATATATTGTTTGTAGAAATTATTGTCTTCGCATGTTCCTCAGTAGAAAGTCTTGTCTTTACATGTAACCAGTAGGAAATCTTGTCTTCACACGTTCCCAACAACCAGTCGTATAAAATACGGTTCTTACTGTCAGTTTTGTCTTTATATGTGTCCAAGGGCGCACGTCTCGGCCCTCGGAAGGTAGCTCAGGGTGGAGACGAAAGACAAAACTCAGGGGTGAAGTTTAAGACAACAGCAGCCATTGTTTGTTGCAAGTCGAAATGGTATTAGATTTTTGAGATAAATGACGTTTCAAAGAAAAGTATTGAAATGGTTTGCACTATAACATATGTTTGAAGCGGTCAGTTTTGTCTTCATACTTCTTCCTGGCCGCCGTTTTCCTTTTCAGTTTGTTTCTGGTGGACAGCTTCATAATTATCTAATTGGATTTAGATTTTTGTTTTGGCTTAGGGTAGTTTAGATTGTGAAATAACCCGCACAAATATAAACTCATAATGTGATAAGGTTTGGCACAGATTGTCTTTGAATAGACTTATCCTCCGTCTTGAAATTCTGTTGAAATGTATTGTGTTGTAGTATGTAGCTAATTGGCGTTAAATGCCATCCCGTCTACCTCTGAAATCCCAAGTCCGACTGCAACAAGCTTCAGGGGCAACCATGCTTTCTTATGGAGATGTTGATGTAAACATACTACAAACAAATGTGCTTCTGAACGCCACAGTATTCCTTTTCATAAAGTATGCATAAGACAATATTTTCGTGCCTGTATATGTGACTGACTGACATCCGTTAGGGTGGTGTGCCTTTAAGAACAGTGTTGTGTGGAGATCTTGTTCCTCAATGACAACATAATCCTAGGTGCCAGCAATGGAATGCTAAACTCCTCGGCACAGTGTAATTAGCGTGTTCTTTCTGCGGAAGAGATGTTGCTCATACGTCTCAATGTATTCTCCATGCACGGACGCATGTGAGTCTTATTACGCACATGTTAATGTCCTAGGTGTAGGGATTACCCCGTGTTCGTAGATGTTGACTCCACGAAACAACAGTTGTCCATAGATCAGTCAGACAGATTGTCCCTGATGGCAAATATTCAGACGCTCTTGGACCTTACATTCTGAACCGAAAACCCAGAGCATTTCATTTTCTTTTCGGTTCACCTGTATTTCTTTAAAGGTTATCCTGAAGTATGAAAATGTATCCACGCATACATTTCTATCAGCAAAGGGCTTTATCCCCTCGTTCTCCAGATCAGATTCCACTGACATTTTGTGTTTGATTTCGATAACAGATGGCTATGTAGTCTCCATTGCTGCCCGGCGGAGTACAGCGAGTTCATCAGGTGTTCACCTTCTTACTTCAAGCAAAAACTTTTGAAATCAAAATCATTCATAAATTGTACGCGCAAATCGTCTTTTTCTCTTGAAAGATGACTTACCTCTCACTCGCTTCTCGTGTGTGTAGTCGATACATGTGTTGATTCTAGTTACGATACTTCATTAGAGACTGCACGACGGCCTGGCACGATGTTCACGGACATTGAAACTGAGACATTATCTGTGTAATTAGTACCGTGTGTGAAACTGAGACATTGTCTGTGTAATTAGTACCGTGTGTGAAACTGAGACATTATCTGTGTAATTAGTACCGTGTGTGAAACTGAGACATTGTCTGTGTAATTAGTACCATGTGTGAAACTGAGACATTATCTCTGTGTAATTAGTACCATGTGTGAAACTGAGACATTATCTCTGTGTAATTAGTACCGTGTGTGAAACTGAGACATTATCTGTGTGTAATTAGTACCGTGTGTGAAACTGAGACATTATCTCTGTGTAATTAGTACCGTGTGTGAAACTGAGACATTATCTCTGTGTAATTAGTACCGTGTGTGAAACTGAGACATTGTCTGTGTAATTAGTACCATGTGTGAAACTGAGACATTATCTCTGTGTAATTAGTACCGTCTGTGAAAGTGGGACATTGTCTCTGTGTAATTAGTACCGTGTGTGAAACTGAGACATTATCTCTGTGTAATTAGTACCATGTGTGAAACTGAGACATTATCTCTGTGTAATTAGTACCGTCTGTGAAAGTGGGACATTATCTCTGTGTAATTAGTACCGTGTGTGAAACTGAGACATTATCTCTGTGTAATTAGTACCGTGTGTGAAACTGAGACATTGTCCCTGTGTAATTAGTACCGTGTGTGAAACTGAGACATTGTCCCTGTGTAATTAGTACCGTGTGTGAAACTGAGACATTATCTCTGTGTAATTAGTACCGTGTGTGAAACTGAGACATTGTCCCTGTGTAATTAGTACCCTGTGTGAAACTGAGACATTGTCCCTGTGTAATAAGTACCGTGTGTGAAACTGAGACATTATTTCTGTGTAATTAGTACTGTGTGTGAAACTGAGACATTGTCTGTGTAATTAGTACCATGTGTGAAACTGAGACATTATCTCTGTGTAATTAGTACCGTCTGTGAAAGTGGGACATTGTCTCTGTGTAATTAGTACCGTGTGTGAAACTGAGACATTATCTCTGTGTAATTAGTACCATGTGTGAAACTGAGACATTATCTCTGTGTAATTAGTACCGTCTGTGAAAGTGGGACATTATCTCTGTGTAATTAGTACCGTGTGTGAAACTGAGACATTATCTCTGTGTAATTAGTACCGTGTGTGAAACTGAGACATTGTCCCTGTGTAATTAGTACCGTGTGTGAAACTGAGACATTGTCCCTGTGTAATTAGTACCGTGTGTGAAACTGAGACATTATCTCTGTGTAATTAGTACCGTGTGTGAAATTGAGACATTGTCCCTGTGTAATTAGTACCGTGTGTGAAACTGAGACATTGTCCCTGTGTAATAAGTACCGTGTGTGAAACTGAGACATTATTTCTGTGTAATTAGTACCGTGTGTGAAACTGAGACATTATCTGTGTGTAATTAGTACCGTGTGTGAAACTGAGACATTGTCTGTGTAATTAGTGCCGTGTGTGAAACTGAGACATTATCTGTGTAATTAGTACCGTGTGTGAAACTGAGACATTGTCTGTGTAATTAGTACCGTGTGTGAAACTGAGACATTATTTCTGTGTAATTAGTACCGTGTGTGAAACTGAGACATTATCTCTGTGTAATTAGTACCGTGTGTGAAACTGAGACATTATCTCTGTGTAATTAGTACCGTGTGTGAAACTGAGACATTATCTCTGTGTAATTAGTACCGTGTGTGAAACTGAGACATTGTCTCTGTAATTAGTACCATGTGTGAAACTGAGACATTATCTCTGTGTAATTAGTACCGTGTGTGAAACTGAGACATTATCTCTGTGTAATTAGTACCGTGTGTGAAACTGAGACATTATCTCTGTGTAATTAGTACCGTGTGTGAAACTGAGACATTATCTGTGTGTAATTAGTACCGTGTGTGAAACTGAGACATTGTCTGTGTAATTAGTGCCGTGTGTGAAACTGAGACATTGTCTGTGTAATTAGTACCGTGTGTGAAACTGAGACATTGTCCCTGTGTAATTAGTACCGTGTGTGAAACTGAGACATTATCTCTGTGTAATTAGTACTGTCTGTGAAACTGAGACATTATCTCTGTGTAATTAGTACTGTCTGTGAAAGTGGGACATTGTCTCCGTGTGAACATTAATATACATTCTAAACTAGCAAGGTGTTTCAGAGACTTGTCTCGAACCTGCCCCGAGAATAGCTCCCTTTACGCCGCCACTATAAGACGTGAGACACTGTACAAGCTGGTGTACAGGCGACTTCTTCTGTGCAGGACGAACGTCTCTCCTGTATCCTGTTTTCGATTCATGTCAGGTGGCAAGTTGTTTGACTATGCGTCAAATAATGTTGCTATGCTTGTGTGGGCTACCCATTTCGCGAACACCTGGTGTCATCACTGATTTTCAGCGATCCATTCATGTACTTTTCAACGGTTTTGGGCCTTTTTACGGCCAATGGAATCTATTTCGTTTGAGACCTGTGAAGATCCAGGTAGAGAATTGGTTTTCAGCAATCCGTGATTTCCGCAAAAGGCGACTATGCTTGTCGTAACAGGCGACTAACGGGATCGTGTGGTCAGGCTTGCTGATTTGGTTTATGCATGTCATCGTATCCCAATTGCGTAGATCGATGCTCATAATGTCAATAACTGGATTGTCTGGACCAGACTCCATTATTTACAGACCGTCGTCATATAGTTCGAAGATTGCTGATGCGTTGTTAAACAACAAACAGAAAATATTTCGCCTGCGGTTGTGAACAGGTTGACAACATGACATGTACCCCGACCCGATACAAATTTTCGTTCCAAGTTCTTTTTAATATTATTATTATTAGACTCTAGATCCCAGCGTTATTTCGACCCATTTACCTTTGCTATGACCAACCAGAGAACATATAATAGATATTATATGGTCTCTGGTCCAACTTATTTCAAACTCATTAAAATCGTTTATCGAGATACAAAAAATCAGGACGTAAATAGATTCCAAAGTACCAAAAAAACGGTTTTTTGTCCCCCGCCACGAAGTGGGCCTTTTCCAAGCATACATGTCAAGACTGAGTTTGAAAATTGGAGCCGTAAATTATTTTTACAAAGTTATGGCTCTTTTATTTCTCCATGCTTTCCAACTTAGTGCATAGTGTCTGCAATGGGAACAAGTTTTCTCTGAAACTACTGAAGTTACATGAATGAAAGTTTGCATGCTTATCTAAGAGATACTGAGATCTAAAATCAGACTTTCTCATGACATAAACCACCCCAGTTCCTTTCTATATAGGACTCTTATTTATAGTTAACATTAACTTCCATGTCATGCACTACAAAAGAACAAAGAAAATGTGCCCCATGGCGCTGTTTTCTTGTTTATGTAAATTTGGTCTATATGTCACTATATCTTGCAGCGATGCAGCGGACGTACGGCGCGACTGCCATGGTGACTGTCAACACACGTCATGCAACGCTTGCACCTTCCAACGGGAACCAGAATGTCCAGTCTGTCGGAAAGATGACTTCAGATGTCTTAAAAAGTTTGGCAAATGTATAAAGAAGCAAACCTGCTCAAGGAAACGATATCCCTGCAAGTGGAGGAAACTAAAGGTAGCGAGTGCTCACTTGATATATGTGATTATACGTTTTATCAAACACACCAACAACATTCAGATGCTGAAAAAAATCGTTTTTTACACAGACAATTACATCGATAATGGGGAAAAAGTTCTCAGAGGTAGAAAATAATCTTAATGAAGGCGTTTGATTGGTCTCTCAAACATACCCTGAAACAAATATATTCAACATAGCCCTTGCAAATCTATAATAGTTGGCAAGTCTAGAGAAAATGAAGAGAGTCTCTGGGCTCCTTTTTATTACATATTATTGAGATAATTTACACTGACGTTTCTGTAAAATATGTTCATTTCATAGACTAGATGTTAGATTAGCGTTTGATTGATGTTGACGAAAACATATCTTCCAAGCTATGTGATGACAAACAATGTTTGTGGAATTGCTGTCGTCAAACATGAAAGTGAGTTGGCATACAATAAGTCGAACCTGTCCCCGACCCTTGCCACCCCCGCAACAAAAAGTCGGTGTTCGGTGATTGCAAGGAGCACAATCAACACTGAAGCCTACGTGAATGAGGTATTCGGTGTGTGCTAAGTGATGGAGCTATAGCGCTGTCTCACTCGATATACTCTACAGTACACTCGCTTGTGTTTGTCTGAACGTGAGAGGGGAGGAGAAAACAGGAGTCACTCGTTCTCAGGGTACACCCCGAAATTCTTGATTGCGATCAAGCAATGATGTCTAATTGGCAGGCCAAATACAAAAGTCCTAACCAGAAACGCCAGTGAAGATTCCAGACATTGCTCGAATGCGCCGCGTCTCGTAGTGTCAACAGTTGAGTAATAAGGCTTGTCGTGTTCTCACGATGAGCAGGTCGGTCGAGAGAACAGGTTGTCGTCTGCCTGCCCTGGCGATGTCGTCTGCTGACCCCAGCAATGTCGTTTGTCACTCGGACAACGTGTAGTTGACCACGACAACAAACAGGAGGAGCGGCTTTCATTCAAGCCGTTGTTGACGGACATCGGGTTGATTTCTCTTCGAAATATGTTTAACATGATGAAACGGATTTTGTACCTGTTTTGCCAAATATGCTCTAAAGGACCTAGGCTCGCAACGTTAGCTAGGACCAGTGTCGTCTAAACATATTAGGACATTGTTCGAAACGATGAAACATTTTCATTGTTTATTGTAATGTTGAGTAGTGAAAGGAGAGGTGTGTTGTACCCAACAGGAGGAATATCTTACAGTAAACTTTCGAACGTGAACCAGATAAGTGGTTAATGTTAAACGTATCCCTGTAAATACTAATGCAGAGTTTCCCAACAATTTCCTGAAATTAGCCGACGTTAAGTGAAGTTGATGATGCAACCATTAATCACTATATGACATGGAGTGTAACTAGATGCGACTATACCGCACAGCCCTCGCCCTACCGCTATCATCTGGGCCCCTCCAACACAGCAGCAGACCAGATGACTCGAGCTGACCTTTGATGATTAGCCAAGCCAAAACCCACGTGGGGATCCATTCCTCTTCATGCTATAATACCATTCACACTTCACTTTATAGGTTTGTTTTGTCATAGTTATTTTTTCAGCAAGTTCAGTGTTATAATTTGATTAGAATCGAAATGATTTTCATGTGCAAAATGTCTTTCCTCAGATTTATAAGAATAATAATTAAAACCATTCCATAGTAGCATGTTCCTAAGATTTAAATATAAGGTTTTCAGCATCTTCTTGTTAACTTCAGGTTTATGTATGTTGTCGAGTATGATCAACGTTAGAGACTGGATTGCATTCAAAATTAAGTCACATCATTGTTGTTATGCGTGTTATATACCCCGAAGCCCAACTTCTGTAGAATAAAGCCATGGGCTGTATCCGGTGTCGAATTAGCCCCTTGTTCCCCCTGCCTCTCGTAAACGACTAAATTGGGATCGGATGTCCAAGTAACAGCGGGTAGGCTTCTCATTTAACAGTATTGATGTGCCTGCTCCACACAGAAACTCGTCAGGTTTCACAGTGTAGATTATGATCGGTTTTTAAAAGTGGTTGCATACATAGTTTGGAGGTTTGGTGGGTCAAGTGCTTGAGAACTAACAGTTGTCATCTTACTTCTCTTATGTCCATGTTGGGAATGGTTATGAAGGTTTGCGCGGTGTGATGTCTAAGACTGTCATGTGTATGTAAAATGCACGAAACTCAACCTGATTCACTCATTCTCTACATACGGTGACATACATGTTTACTTGATATCCTAAACCCGATCTGAATAAATCCGAAAAAAAGAATTGCTAAATAAAGATTTCTTTGTCTTGACGTTTATGAATTTCGTATAATTTTCTCCCTCCAGAAAGCTGCGGCTAAAGGCAATAATGCAGCCCAGCCCCTATGTGCAGTGGCCCTTGTTTTAATATCAGGAACAAATGTGAAATGTAGCGCATGTTTTGTGTTGTCCTTTATATGATAACTGAACGGACGTTTGCCTCCATTTTACGCTAAAATAATTAACGGATAGATAGAGCTTTAGCATCATGACCACGTATCTACGCCTTGATAATGCTCACAGTCCACCATGTGATCTACATGACGGAATAGGATCCAGGGCCCACTCGCACAAAGCTACCTTAGCGCTATGACCACTGTAACTCCCATATTTAAACATAGACTTACAATAGTCCCTACTTTAACATAGACTTACAATAAGTCTTAAGTTTGATTTTTTTATGTCATTTCAAAAACAGATTTGTTTTGCCGAATTTGTTCGTTATGCTCAGGTATTATTAGAAAACAATCAGACAGCCAGCTGAACCAACAAGATAGTACTTGGATGACATATACTAACTAATAAAGCGACAGGTTTAGGCACCGTCAACTTTGGTTGTGGTTAAACATTATGTACATGACACCAGCGTACCTGGCAATCAAACAACATGTTCCAAGTTATTTTGGCAGGTTGTGTATAATAGGACACGATGCATGTCCTCGTTGTAGTCAGACAGGATTGTAAACATTTCTATACGAAATGGAAACATGGCCTTTTCTTTGGCAGGACGAAGCTAGTCAAGTATTCCTGCCTCGCCATGTGCTTTGGCAATACCGTCATCTTCTACCTGAGCAAGTACTGCTTGAGGTGCAAGCCGTTGATGTTATAACCACATCTGTGAAACACAACGTTTAATTATGTGGTCATGTCATCGTTACCTTGTTTCAGATATGACACATCAATTCCTTTCATATTTTATCGTTTCAAAATATAATTTTAACCTCAATGCCCACATAAAAGCTTTGATTTAATTAAGACAGTTAAAACTGGTTTGTGGTCCCTCTGAAATCGTCCGGATTAATATATTCCTGGATTAACGAATCATGGTTTCGGGGTAGTGTCAGTTTCTGTGTGTTCCCAGCAGAAGTTGGTGTCCGGAATGTGGGGGTTTCCGGATACAAGAGGTCTGGACAGACACGTTCAGTATGTATATATGGGTTGCGCACTGTTTGGGTCGAAGTAAAGCAAAGATCAGTTTAAAACAAATTCTAAATTCTGTCCTGGGAGCTCATTCACAAATCTTGTCACAGTGTACCATGTGCACAAGTTGATTATTTATTGTTTTAGTTCACATCGTAAGCATAACAGTACACACACCTACACGTTGTGGTCAACAATTTATGAAACCGCTGACAGTCATGTTTATGGTGACTAAAAGTTGTTTTACCCAAGCCAACAATATTTCAGTTATATCAGCTGTCTGGACTAGGTAAACCAGTCGTTGAGAGTAGATCAACGACCCGACCCACTTAGTTGAGTAAGATCGAATACAATCAGGTCACACATTTAAACACCCGGTCCTCACATTAAACTACACTTCGGACAATCATTTGGTTCTAGGCACCGATTCTGCTCAGGAATCCACTCTTGTTAGAAAACATTGATTGAGTTGATAGACTTGAAATCCTTTGTCTTCATCCTGATCCATGGCACCGTAGTTATAATGCTTGTATGCGCCTGCCTATCGTCGTCTAGTAAATGAAGGGCGTTGTAACTGTATAATACACCATGACATTGTTTAAAACAACATAAAGCCTGTGATAGATTAGTTTACATTCTCGGCAAAATTACGACACGTAAATGATGGTTTCGTTAAGATCTAAGGCTAGTGGAAAATCTGCCCTTCCTCACTTGTCTTCATGTAACCTCATCATAGACAAGGTCTGGATAACAAGCAGGTTGCTATCTGATGTCTGTAAGCGGACCGTGTCAGCATCGTGGTCAAGTGGATCACTGTTGACTGTGTACTGTTATGGGGGCAACAGGTAATTCAAGCAAAGAATAAACTCGCGCTGTCCGGGTACGATGTCCCACAAGACCATCCAGGTCAGAATTGACGCCAGCCACGCTCACTGACGAGCCTTCTTTGAATTGCAATATACATGCCATGCACTACTGACGCCCTGCAACACCCGGGGGCCAGAACAATAATATTAATGATTGATAAACGTACATACAAATATGGATATGGACATGTATGGTCTGTTGGTTAAAATATTTGGTTTGTATTTTTCAGACACCCGAGAAAGGCAAGTTCGTGTGTCAAGTGCCACAATGTCCAGATGCTGCTTGAAGAGCGTTAGGTAGATGCGTGTAAATCTCTAAAACCTCATCTCGCTTGGTGCTAATCATATGACGTTATTGGGCTCACTGTCGACCAAATAACAACGCATTTAGCTTTGCCCAAATTGAGGAGTTGGCCAAGGCAATAAACCTCAGTTCACATTGTGTCTGTTTTATGCCTAGCCACTTTCTTATTTGCCGAATATCATGCAGTGCAGATCATTGCTCTAACGAATACATGTAAACGACTTTGCTGAAACATGCCGTTAATAAACATCTTATGAACACCTGTCAGATGGACTTGCTTGAGAAGGAAGTGATTATCACATCTTATGAACTCCTGTCATATGGACTTGCTTGAGAAGGAAGTGATTATCACATCTCATAAACACCTGTCAGATGGACTTGCTTGAGAAGGAAGTGATTATCACATCTTATGAACACCTGCCAGATGGACTTGCTTGAGAAGGAAGTGATTATCACATCTTATGAACTCCTGTCATATGGACTTGCTTGAGAAGGAAGTGATTATCACATCTCATAAACACCTGTCATATGGACTTGCTTGAGAAGGAAGTGATTATCACATCTCATAAACACCTGTCATATGGACTTGCTTGAGAAGGAAGTGATTATCACATCTCATAAACACCTGTCAGATGGACTTGCTTGAGAAGGAAGTGATTATCACATCTCATAAACACCTGTCATATGGACTTGCTTGAGAAGGAAGTGATTATCACATCTCATAAACACCTGTCAGATGGACTTGCTTGAGAAGGAAGTGATTATCACATCTCATAAACACCTGTCAGATGGACTTGCTTGAGAAGGAAGTGATTATCACATCTCATAAACACCTGTCAGATGGACTTGCTTGAGAAGGAAGTGATTATCACATCTTATGAACACCTGTCAGATGGACTTGCTTGAGAAGGAAGTGATTATCACATATATGATGGACCTGTCAAGCGGCTTGGTTGGAGGAAGCAGCGATTATCATAACTCGGAACTGTTGCATTATATAGTTGGATCGCGCGGCCATCACTCAACTGATGGACACGCGTAAGAATTCATTGATGGACGCTGCTGTGCTTATACATGTCCAGTAGGTCTGTTAGATGACAAAGCCGAACCATTAGAGATAGACGTCGCTGTGAACTCACCATAAGACAACCTTCAGCAAATTTGGTCGGCTGTTCTGACCCCTTCTCTTTACATGTGTTTATTCCCCAGTAGCCTTCACAGAGCAACACAATCAATTCAGGACTATGTTTTCCAACGCTTTGATCATGTGTCGTTCAGGGCCGAATCTAGTTCCAGGGAGGTTCTCGGCTGAAAGGACCAAGTTCAAGAATCAGTTGACAGTGAAAGAACACTCAGATAAACGCAGAAGTGTCAGAAAGTGCGTGACAAACGTAGATGGACATTTGTTGTTATGTTTGTATTTATTTCAGAGTTGAGCCGTTTAGCAATGGATGGACTTCTGTGATTATTGTTATGCCTGCTCTTGTTTTGATGTGTCGTATTTCAGTGTAAGAGATTTGCCATTCTTATGATTGATCTATTGGAAAACGATCGAAGGGAAACCCTGTTGTCATCATTTGGTATCAATACTGACCATTGTTATAATCATTGATAAACGAGGCACCTTATATTGAAACAAACGGTTCGCGCATGGTACGTTACCAGTTACTTCATAGGGGATGTTAGGTTTTCTTGTCAAATAACATGTTTATCTCATTGAGTGACCTGACAAGGATATGTTATTTGACAGAAAAAAGACAGATGTTGTATCTATTATGTATGTTCTCACTTATCTTATTCTGTTACCGGCATAGTGTCAATCAGGCAGACTGAAACTAGGTCCGGGGAATAGTGTTATTTCACTAGATAAATATATTATTTCATCTTTAGAAACACATTAATTTAATGAATTAATAATTAATGTTATCTTTTACAAATACTGATTGGAACTGGTAGGGGCCGACCATACGATATTCTTGGTGCCTAGGGATGTATCGAAAACAATAAATTGTCCTCGAAATAAATAATAATGCTTCATATTGTTTGAAAAAAGAGGAATTTTCTGCCACAAAAGCTTCATCGTTGTAAAGTGTTTTTCAGAGAAAAAATATTTTGGCTCATGGTTTAAACTTAAAAAAATATCTGGTCCTGCAGCTGTAGCCGTGTATAATGGGGATCAGGGGAAATATCAGACACCTTAATTGACATCTGTAAGTACAATATCATAAACATACACTTAAAACGTGAAGTTTGATTGAAAGTGTACTCTTTCATTATAACACGATATGATATACATGCCCCACGCTATTTCTCAAATATCTACAAGATATAATACTTTGTTGTTTGACAGCATCAGATGTATGATAAATTCACTATCAAACATCCTCTGCACGTTTTGACAGAAAACTCTAAAAGATTATACTTGCTCTCCCCATCCCTGGTCTTATGGATGGGAACGTTCTGATAAGCCTCCTGCTAATTCCCGTTAGCTAATGTGCCAGCGCTAATAAAGTGCCACGACAGGCCAGATTATCACACGTTTAGATAAAACATTCTTTGAGGACATTATCGGCTCTGAATCACCCTAATGCCAGAGTTTTCACTAAACTAGACTATTTATAAGCTTTTATCAAATGCTGTCGACTGGGGAAGCAGCCATTACACATTCTTCAGCACCAGATTAACAGAAACGTGGGGAAAGTAGACTTGCTCGGCGTCTTACGTGCAGCAAATCAATTTCAATTAGTATTGTCGCCTCTTGTATTCTGTTTCATCAATTCCTGTCAGATTGTGCACTTTTTGACTTGACCCGGTGACACCGTGTCACTCTGTGTTTCCTGGTCTGCCAACTGACTGTGAAGCAGGACAGAAGCTGAGCCAAACATTGGCCGCGCCGGACTGAACCACGATAAAAAACAGTTCTGTATTGTTGGTTCAAGTAATGTGCAGGATGACTCATGCTATTATAGTGCGTCATTTGCTCTATTATTCTTTGAAGAAAATTTGATATTTATATGTCATCATGCTTTACGTATTTGGCCTGTCTTCTATTTTTACGGTTCTGTTTGAAATATTCGTTAACTATGATTATTATGTGTAAAACACAAGTAACGTACTAGCGCTTTCGCTTGATCCTACGAGTTAAAAAACCCCCAACCTTTTATTTTTGTCATTTTCAGTATGTGATCTGATTTGTTTATTTTTTGTTGGACATTTGGTTGTATGGCGGTGTAACAAATCGGAGTATTCAGATTAAGATGGACAAATCTGCACTTTCTGTTGGTGATTTACTTCTTATTCCCAATATGTCGGATCCTTCCTGGTTTTCTAGAGCGCATCTTCCTGGGGCAAGGGAGCTAAAAAGTCTAGTTTCCACCCTTGTCGAACTGGGTTGGAATTCTGGAGTTACATTTTGGCTGGACTAACAAGTCTATGCATAGCCCAATCAAAATCGCGCAACAAACTACACATCCGGTTCGTAAACAACATGGATTTCAACGTGCAGATATCGATCGTCTGCAGGATTTGCCAAACATGTTTACCGTCAACTAGGCGTTCACAGATATTTTCCAAATCTTTTTCATGTTTATAATCAAGGCGCTCAAATGACTTGATGCACTTCGCGAGGTAAGACCCGTTAAATTACAATATAGATCTTGAGTATCGATCAGATTGTCTTGACTGGTCGCCGCCATTTTGTTGGAAGCAAATGCAAGTGATATGAGAGGTGGAATCTGATTAGTCAATAGAAGGTATATCGAAGGGACATAACTCGTAATGGCCACTGGTGGTGCTACGATGGAGCCACGAAATTCCAGCGTTGTTCGGCAAGGTAGGAAACTGAACTTTTGTAGTCAGTTAACACCCTTGCCTCGGGAAGATGTCTTGGAGAGCTGAGTATATCAAGTTATAAAAGACACAGTTACATTTCACTACACTTGTATTTACCAAATGAGGTTAATTAACAGCAAATATAACATTAGGAGAAGAGGGCTATCAAAGCAGGGGACGCAAATAATCATCACATGTGGTACCCGTGGGAGAATTGAACTCGGGGCTTGGTTTTGACGTCCGAATGAATTAGCCTCTGGGATTTCACATCTCAACATTTACTGAAGAAAGAAATAATTTCCAACACTTGCTCTGATTAATCTTTGCGTGTTTATAATTTGAATAAAAGTTTATATAAAGTTTATGTGATGTATTATTATTCTTATTACCAGTTTCATAAGGCTTTTTACCAATGACGTTATTGAAGCCATTGTTAGCTCTGTCTGGAAAGTATTCATGTCAGCCTCCGTTGTAAGATTTAGTCATGGCTGGGTTTGTTGGTTTTTGCAAGTATCGTATGTACATATGTCTACATCAACAATGCAAATTTGTTATATATTTCAATAAATCATGCTCCATTCAATTTCAACATGTATGTCTTATTTCACAATTAATATATTTTCAAATGTCGCGTAGGTCCACTTAATTTCCCACTGGCATAAGGAAAAGTAATGCCATTAATATGTGTTCATACTCATATGTATATGCGGACACCTGACAGGGGGAATCGAATGAAGCCTGTTCAAGTCCAAGTATTCTGCCTTTCGCACTTTGTTTTATTAAACGACCATTTGATATTCAAGGGCTGGGCTTTTAGTTAGCGGGAGAATTGTTTTATCTCTTGCTGGGGACATGGATAAAAGAAGAAAACAAACAATAGTATTTTCACCCACAACCCAATTTCGTCCAGGTTACTCAGTGGACCATTTGTAATGCCTGGAGCAATATTATTTATTTTCTAGAACAGAACTTTATTTTTGTTAAAAAGACCAGGTCTTCAGTTGTGTAACTCATTCCTCTTTGTGTGTGAAACAGAAAGGTTAGAGAAATTTCAACGTTGAAACTTAGGTTTGGGTGAGACCGGTGGACAGCAAGCACCGGTGTAGTTGCTGTTATGCTCTCGTGTGACATATGCCCAACATTAACGAGCACATCTTCCATTGATATTGGCATTTATATATGCACGTGTGAATGAGTGTTATAAACGGAGCATTTGGTTCTGTGTCGCTACCACATGGGCAACATCATGTTCGTGATGACCCCTATGTATGCACAGGGCAGGTATTGATATATACAGATACTGCCTACATGTTGGCTTCACGTTGATACGTTCGGAAAGAAAGACACGGCGAGGGAGTTCGGGCTCCACTCCACTTTGAACAGTAATCGTGTGGGAGAAAAGCGAAGCTCGTGTGTGGGTCGAATCTGGACTTCTTACACGAAATTAACGTACATGTCAGTAGATCCATGGAGCATTTTCCGTTGAATATTAAGAAGTAAAGTGCCGTTACTCGCACCCGGATACATCTGCATTGATGTAGTCTAGAAGGAATACTATGCTAGAAATGTGCCAGTACGTGATAATTAACAATATCTATACAAAGATATATGTTTAATGTCGTTGAAAAATGCTAAGTTTTGAAGAAAACATTCTTCAAACTTTAGTTTCCAGAGCAAAAGCGGTAATTGTGAGTGCTCACTTTCCCCTGCCGCTTCACGTTACACGAAAGTTGACACCCCGTGTACGGAACTAACACCTTTAAGCAAAAGATTAGCTACCACCTAGGAGGTGTAAATTAGCTTAGTGATCTGGCAACACGACAGAGAACAATCAACAAGCAGTGAGTCGTGAATCAGACAAATTCCCCACCCGATCTCCCATTATCACGACCTCTGTAGGAATTCTCACCACATGAATGCGACCCTCAGAACAGGGCTATTTGGCCACAAGGTGTTGGCTTAGGTCCTTAACTATTCACGCGAGCAAATCTAATTACAAGTAGATTAGGACCTACAGCGAGCATCATTACCGAGCCAGCGGCCAGTGGTGTGACCATTGTCCACAAGTGCCCGTAATGACCAGTTTGTCACCCACGTGAAGTAGGGGCGTGACCGGGGGTCATTTGTTGTCTGTGCGGGTGTTGGTCAATTCAATGAGACTTCAAGTAGGTGTGACTTCACAATTAGCGTAAGTTGGTTCGCATCGTCGATGTGTTATGCCGGGCCAAATGTTGAAATTCTTCCAAGAGTTAGCTTTACTTGGGTGACCAACAAGAATCCCATGTAATTTGCTGGGTGGATAATGCAGAAAGGTTTTGCTTTGTTAACGAGAACAGACCACTCGGTTAATTCTGTTTGTTCATTTCATTTACTCCGGCAGCAGTGTTGTAGTGTGTTAAGGTTGCTGCTACATGAGAACTAGGTGTGGAAAAAGTGTAGTTTCACATACTGGCTAGGATTACATCGTACACATCCACAGAACCCGATGGCTATTGTTCTGAATAGAAGAAACCATGTCAAACGGAATGAAGCATGTTCTCTTAATCGTAAAAGGAAACATAATAATTCTCAATCACACAACTTCCAATATGTTATATGAGGAGGAATCCTCACAAAGCAGATATTATATCACATATATAGCGATCAACACATGTCACTACCATTCCGACGACCAGAAAGCCAAATTCATAACATAACCATCAGCGAATTCAAAGCATGTAAAATGTGGCTTGAACCTATTTAATTTAGCAAGCATGATTTCCTATATTGTTATAAAATTAATTCAATTAAAAAATGACAAGGTGGGAGTATGGAGTATAAACCTTTAAACAACGTGCCCATGTTCTGACCGTAGCATGAACTTTCCAAACCAGACCCAGACTGCACGTGCTGCTTGTAGTGAGTGAGTACGGTATTTCTCCGCTTTTAGCAATATTCCAGCAAGATCACGGCGGGGGACACCAGAAATGTTCTTCACACATTGTACAATTCTGGTTTATATAATATAAACACAGAGTGTGGTATGTAATTTATATTAAATATACATTTATACAGAGTCTAGATATTCGTGTTGTCAAAACTTCTTTATCCACACAAGATCTTTCGCCGTTCAAGGGCTCTTCATGTGCAATATAACTTTAACTTACATTGTAGTCCTAGGCATCAGTTGTATTTGTGGCGTCATATATCTATATCTGACAGTTTGTACCACATATATGTAACTCACACTACGTATATAAGGATTCAATACAAGTGTCTATAAGTGCATATAAACACGTTCTATATATACATAAACACATAGTACATATATAGAATTCACTTATTACATCTACAAGATTTTACTTTATTAGTGCATATAATCGACCGACATTTGACATTCCAGCTACAGCTACAAAACCAGATATTTGTTTTCATTTAAACGCAGTGCCTGATTTTTTAAAAAGGAAAACACCTTGCAACAATGTACTTTTTTGGCTGGCAATTATTTTTCAACAGTCTGAAGCAATTAATTTTTTAAGAATTTTTTTCAGGGACATTTTTTTCCAATAAAATCCAAGCTCCACTCCCAGAATATCAAATGGTAGTTATACACACACTACATACAGACGAATGTCATACTTATTTCATACTAATACCCATAAGTGCATGAAAACACACACAACATATATAAGAATGTCATACTAATATCCATAAGTGCATGAAAACACACACTACATCTATAAGAATATCATACTAATATCCATAAGTGCATGTAAACACACACACTACATTTATAAGAATGTCATACTGATATCCATAAGTGCATGAAAACACACACTACATATATAAGAATGTCAAACTAATATCCATAAGTGCATGAAAACACATACTACATATATAAGAATGTCATACTAATATCCATAAGTGCATGTAAACACACACTACATATATAAGAATATCATACTGATATCCATAAGCGCATGTAAACACTCACACTACATATATAAGAATGTCATACTAATATCCATAAGTGCATGAAAACACACACTACATATATAAGAATATCATAATAATATCCATAAGTGCATGAAAACACACACTACATATATAAGAATATCATAATAATATCCATAAGTGCATGAAAAAACACACTACATATATAAGAATGTCATACTAATATCCATAAGTGCATGAAAACACACACTACATATATAAGAATGTCCTACTAATATCCATAAGTGCATGAAACACACACACTACATATATAAGAATATCATACTGATATCCATAAGTGCATGTAAACACACACCCTACATATATAAGAATGTCATACTGATATCCATAAGTGCATGAAAACACACACTACATATATAAAAATGTCATACTGATATCTATAAGTGCATGAAACACACACACTACATATATAAGAATGTCATACTAATATCCATAAGTGCATGAAAACACACACTACATATATAAGAATATCATACTGATATCCATAAGTGCATGTAAACACACACACTACATATATAAGAATGTCATACTAATATCCATAAGTGCATAAAACACACACACTACATATATAAGAATGTCATACTAATATCCATAAGTGCATGAAAACACACACTACATATATAAGAATGTCCTACTAATATCCATAAGTGCATGAAACACACACACTACATATATAAGAATATCATACTGATATCCATAAGTGCATGTAAACACACACCCTACATATATAAGAATGTCATACTGATATCCATAAGTGCATGAAAACACACACTACATATATAAAAATGTCATACTGATATCCATAAGTGCATGAAACACACACACTACATATATAAGAATGTCATAC